TATATATATATATATATATTACACATACACTCATTTATACAATAACATCAAGTTCTGCATCACTTCACAGAACATATATGGAATACCTTATAGTTCCTTGCATATTCATACAGACACACTATGGCTAATTGAGGTGGATGCTTAGGCCGTGTGATCTGCAAGCGCGGAGCAGATCCGGACCAGAGCAGGTGCAGACCGGATCAAAACTGCGTCCAATGTATTCCTATGGTATTTTGACCTCCAGTTCACATCGCAGCGTGCGGATCCAGACCAGATCCAGACCGGATGAAAAAAATGCGGCAAGCCCTATTTTACCTGCTCTGGATCTGGTCTGGAACGCATCAAAAACGCATCAAAAACGCATTCAAGTGCCTGAAAGCCCATGTTAAACTTTAAAAATTATTATTATTTTTTTAACCAAAACCGGCCCTAAACGCATCACAAACGCATCCAAAACACGTCTAAAACGCGGCACAACCCACTACACTGCGTGTGCAGAAACCTGACCGGATCTGGTCTGCATTTGGTGTGAACAAGGCCTTAGTCACCTACTAATGAGAGGAAACTGGAGTGAATGATGAACCGCATGAAATTTAGGAAAAACATCTTTCATAAGCAGTTTATAAACCTAATATATGAAAATGATATTTGACATTATATTAATGAGCATGTTAAAACTGTTTATAGTTATTGTTCTGTTAAATGTAAAAATGGTCATGCAGTAAAACGTATACAAAGGTATTTTCCGTAACCTGTTGCATGACAGAATTGCGGTTCATTGACTCTTGAATACTGTGTTGCACAGTCTACTGGAATCGCAAACTTGTGGAAAGAAAATACATAGTTTCATATAGTACTTCATTGCTGACTTTCATGAAGTGTCTGAAATAAATAATGAGCATCAACTGGGTGAGAGGTTGGAAGGTAAATGATGGAAGCAGGAGTGGCTATGCCGAGTACTCTATACAGTAAGTGCAGTGTGAGTTCTAGCATGCTGTTAATATTATAGGTAATTGGGCAACATTTCAGAGGAGCTACTATTGGCACAGCACATTACTGATGCAGTGCAATGGTATGTCCAAAGTTACCCAAGCACATTATAATCTGATTGTACAATCTTCTTTAGATATACAAAAAAAAACCTGTAATGTGAAGATATTCCTGATTGTATACAAATGTAATGGATTGTTTCTTTTTTTGGGGATTGTTCCTTACAATACATACTTATTGACTAATCCAAAAGATTGTACAGATTCTAAATCAGATTATAATGTATGTGGCAACCTTTCGGATGTCACTTGGCGTGCCCATGAATATTCTAAAAGTTGGAAGCGATATGACAATTTGTTGATTTATTATCTTTTAGCAACACTACAAAAGCTATAGAATTTTGTAGAAGCTAGAGTATAACAACTGAAAACAAACTGTAGCAGTTTCCTAATATTAACGTAGGTTTAAACCCTAAAAGAGTGACATTTCGTTTTCTAAAGCAGTGTTAAACATACATGTCGTTTTTTGTTTTTTTTAAATATAAAATACAAGTTTTTACACTTTATTTTGAATCCGTTGTTGCATTATAGTGCTGCTGCTCTTCTGAAGCCTCTTAGCTGCATGGCATATCTCAGTGTGATTCTCGATGGCACCCGTTTGAAGGGACAGTACCTCTTTTGGAACCAAATCCCTGTTTCCTCCTTAATTGTCCCACTTTTTGGACAGATGTGTAGACTTTTCAAAGAAATGCCGAAATGCAATACTTAAAGAAGAACTCCAGGACATGTAAAAAGTAACCCTTGCTGTGGGTCTACCCCCACAATGCAAGGGTTAACTGCTTATTTTGGTTTAGTGGCTAAAATAAAAAATGCTCACCTGATCTTCGGTCCCACTTGGCTGCTAGAACAGTCCCCGCAGGCTTTTCTCCCCTTGGCTCTGGTGGTCTGAGGGCCCGTGACATCATCACATCTAATGCAGCTGCATTAGGTGTAAGGATGCCAAGATACATAACACAACCGTAGGGGAAGGGGGAGAGAGGAATCTCTCACTGCCGCAGGAACACGGATCGCCTTTATTTTAGCCCCTAAACCAAAACAAGCAGCTACCGCTTGCAGTGTGTGTGTATGTGTGTGTGTGTGTGGGGAAAGGATTCATTTTTATATTTCCTGGAGTTCTTCTAAAACTCCCAAAGTGTTACACTGCACTAAACCTTTCACACAAACCCTTTTATTTTCAAATTTGTTTTTAATGGTGTCAGCAGTAGGTCATCTCTGTGCAAAGTGTGTTGAAATGGCCATCAGAAATCTGGGTGACAGGGTGACAATGCAAGAGCACAATTAGGAGACAGGGATACAGCGTTGTCACCAGAGTTGTACAGTAAGAACATACTTTGGAAATTACATTCTGATGTTAAAGTTTATTATGTGCTTGTTCATACCATGTTTGCTGAGCTTTGTGCTTTGTTTTTCTGCACATTACCACACATGTATGGAGTATACAAGAAACATGGAAAGCAATTGTTTTCTATGTGTCCTGTTCACATGATACATGTGCGGTCGTGTGCAGAAAAACAACAAACATGGTGGAAACAAGCCTTAAATGAGCTTTTAGTGATTGGGGTTACATATACTTAGACTGACAGATTCTCACCCTTGTTCTCTCAGAAAAAAACATGTGCATCATTTTTATGGGCTGCTTATGAAAACCTCTCCACACCAAGAAACACATGTTTACACCAAACAACTAATTGGTTTAAGGTCAAGTAAGCAATTCCTCTTTGCCTAGTAGGACATTTGAAGTGGACAGATGTCCAATAATCTGGTTAACACATAGTAAATCAGCTCCGCGGGAATAGTTGACACATTGAGTTAGTCTCTAAACATCATCTAAACAGCCACTGAATAGTAGTTTACAGTAGAATAGAACCGATAATAATGCAATGTCTTTGCTCATGGAAAGTAATAGCTATTGTACAAACTCTTCAGCCCGCAGTGATAAAAGTGTCAGCCCATTGCAGCTACCTATAGTATGTGTGCTATTGTGCTCTTCTCTGCCTATTTGTGATGTATCTTATTGCAGTTTAGTAATATTCACCGGAAATCAATCTCAAAGTATCACTGAAGAAAACCTGTGCTGAGAGAGTTAAATAGGTTGCTATTACTAGTTGCTTCTGCTTTTAGTATTTTTTGAGTCACAGACTTGGTACATGTATTATTGTTATAGATATTTATATAGCGCTGATACTTTACATAGTGCTTTACATTTGGCACATTCACATCAGTCCCTGTACTTACAAGGGAGCTTACAATCTAAGGTTCCTTTCTCATATATGTACATACTAGGGCCAATTACCTACTAGTATGTCTTTAGAGGAAACCCATACAAGCACATGGGGTGTTCTGACCAGAATTCAGGATGCAGTTCAGGACAGTAAGACTGCATTCAGAATGTCTGTTCTGTATTTGTTTCAAGTCATTTAGAATGAGCTGAAACCATAAGACCAGCGTGACAAATAGTGAACAATGAGCCAACTGGTCAAAGTTTGGTTCACAGGAGATTCAGAAACCAGGATGAAATCTGCTAAACCCAAACATAGCTTTGAACCCTACTGAAGTAATGTAGCAGAAGTAGTGCTACTACTGCTAAAGGACATAGCACCAATTATGCCATGTCCCCAATTATGCAGTTCATAGAAAATGATTATGCAAAAAATGATTGATAAAACGTACAAGTGTTTTTTTATACCACTATTTCCCCTTATACTGGCTTTTTAAAATAACAAATGCAATAAATTTGAGGCTATATGAAAGTTTTAGTGTAGTATAAAACTTTTGGTAGTTAAAACATTTTTTTTTTATAAAGGTCTATACATCAGGCAAAAAAGAGGGACAACTGGGGAGAATTGATTGACAAAGGATTTAGTTCCAAAAGAGGAACAGTCCCTCGAGATCAATGGCATTCTCAACATGACTTCCATCACTTTCTTCATGTCGGTTCCTTTTGTTTTTATTTGCTTTTCTCCAAATGGCTGTACAGCCGACTAATGTAATTAGTTACAGTAGCGGTCACTTGACTGAGGTAGCATAGATGTCCGCATTCTTCACTTAACCATTGTATCAACATGAACTAGGTTACAGCAGAATCTGTTGATCTATAAACAGTTCAAAAGGTGACATAAATGCAGTCACATGGTACTTATATCACATTCTTAATCTGTCCACAGATATCAGAGAGCAGATGGCACAATTGTCTGCTAATCTTTATTTCAAGATGTACTAACAAAAGTGGGCTGACCAAAAAGGGAAAGGTTGGAGATATAGGGACTTAGATTGTAAGCTCCCTTGCCAGCACTATATAAATACCTGTAATAAATCAATATAATAAACAATGCTAAAGAAGAA